CACGATACATAGTAGACTTCCAGATAAATTGTAATTAATTAATGATATATACTTTAAACTCCAGAGCAGTCACTAAACAGCTTTGAAAATGAGATATAAATGGGCAAGAGTGAAAAAAATATGTAATTATAAAAATACCAGATGAATCAGAAAGCAGGCAGGCAAAAGGGAGAGAAAAGGAAAACACAAGAGAGGAACGAACAGAAATGAATCAGCAAGACGGTGGATTCTCATTCCATCACACCAACAGTGGCAGCAAGTGTGAACCGTCTGGACAGGCCAATAAAAGACCGATCACCACTTGGACGAAGAGCAAGACCCCACGATACGGCGTCTAAAGCAACCCCACTTGAAGTATGGAGATACGAACAGCTTTAAAGTAAAAGAATGGAAAAAGCACATGAAAATACCAAAAAAATAAATCGAGTGGCTGTATTAATATCAAAGTAAAAATCTCAGCAAAGAAGAAAACCAGTGATAAATCAGACACTGTATGATGCTGTCGTGATCTGCTCACCACGAGGACTCAACGGTCCTAAACGGGTGGGCAACAGAGCCTCAAAACACAAGGTGCAAATCTGACAAAGCTAAAAGGAAAAAATTAACAAATCAACTACTACAGTCGGAGACTCCAACTCTTCTTTCTCAACAACAAAAAAGCAGACAAAAAATGAGTCAGAATCGTCACGACCTGAACAACCATCTAGTACCTTGACCTCCAAGTTTTACTTAAAAACCTATCCAACAACAACACACTGCACGTTCTTTTCACGCACACGTGGAAATTAACCAAGAGGGGCATATTTGCAATATATACGTCACGTAAAACTAACCTAAACGAGTTAAAAATCACTGAAATCACAAAAAGTATGCTTTATGATCCAACAGAATTAAACGAACCTAACGACAGAAAGATACGTGGAAAATCCCTAAAAACTTGGATATTAAACAACACACGTCAAAACAGCGCATGAGCTAAAGAGGAAATCGCACGGAAGATTAGAAAGTATTTTCAACTGAATGAAAGTGAAAAACATAACATACCAAAATTGGGGGATTCCGAAGGGTTAGAGTGGAATTTACAGCATTTAGATGTTTGTATTAGAATCGAAACTTAAGAATCTATAACAGTAAATTAAACCCCAAACAAGAAAGTGGAAGAAAGAGTAAAGAAAAAGAGCAGAAATCAATGAAATAAAAACAGAAAAATGATGGAGAAAATCAATGACTCCAAAAGCTGGTCCTCGTAAAGATCAATACACGTCCAGCCAGACTGACCGTGTATGAGCAGAAGCCACAGGCGACCAGCATCACCAGTGTCAGGTGAGGCCCCGGTGAAGCCTACTGATGTTAAAAGAAGAAGAGAACATTCTGAACATCTTCCTGCTCATGCATCCAACAACGTAGATCAAATGGACAAATCCCTTAAAAGAAACACGCGTCCAAAACCCACTCAGGAAGATGCAGACGGCCCGCGCAGACGAACGCCCACCAAGCATTTGAGCACAGAATTAGAGCCGTCCGGAAAAGCAGACGCCAAGCGTGCGAGGGTCACTGGTTAACGCCACCAGGCATCCGGAGAAGAAATAAAAGACGTTCTAAAACACCATCCTGACAGCGAAATCAGAAAAGGTCATTAAAGGAAAGGAAAGCTACAGACAAACATCCCTCAGAAAACAGACGCAAAGTCCTGAATAAAATATTAGAAAATAAAGTTCAGCAACATGGAAAAACCATGATTTATTCTCATCAAGTGGAATTTATCTTACAAATGCAAGGGTGGCTCAATGTGTGAATATCAATCACAGCAATTCACTGTATCAATAAAATTTAAAAAATCATCTTAACAGATTTAGAAAAAGCATTTGACAAAGTTCAACATCTAATAGTGATTTAAAAAACCCTTAAGGTAAGGATTAAAAGGAACTTACTAAACTTACTAAGGGGCACCTGTAAAACACCTACAACTGACATCTTTTTTAAGGTAAAAGACTGATTGCTCAGAAATGAAGCAAAGTTGTCTTTCTTGCCATTCCTATTCTGAAAACGCAAACCAGGGCAGTAATGCAAGAAAAAGAAAGGGCCTAGGGATTGAAAAGGAAAACAAAGCAAAACAAACCTCTCTCTATTCAGATAATACAATTGTCCATGTAGGAAATCCCTGAGCCTACCAGCTAAATGCTCCTACAGCTGAGGACAGCAAGATCACAGGATGTAAGACCAAAACACAAAAGCCAAATATATTTCTAAACATGAGCCACAGACAATTGGAAACTGAAGTTAAAAATTTAGGACCACTTACATAACAATCAAAACATGAAATAGATATAAATTTAACAAACCATATACAAGATTTTTATGCTGAAAATTGATGAAAAATAAAAAAACTTAAATAAAGGGAGAGTCATATCATATTGATGGATTGGAAGACAATATAATAAAGCTGTAATTTCTCCCCAAATTGATCACTAGGCTGACTGTAATCCCAATCAAAATTGCAGCCAGCATTTTTTTAGAAATTGAAAAGTTAACTTTAAAACTGAGATGGAAAAACAAAGAAATTAGAATATCCAGATCAATTTTGAAAAAGGAAGAACAAAATTGGACAATCTTCACGACGTGATATCAAAACTAACTATAGATCTACAGTAATCAGAACAAAGGTTTCTTGGAGAAAGAGATGGAACACTGATCACTAAGACAGAGCATTCAGAATTATTCACATACACACCAACTGGTGTTTAACAAAAGCACAAAGGCAACGCTATGGAGAAAGGATAGTCTGTTCAACAAATGGTGCTGCAAAAAAACGGACATCCAAATGCTAAAAAAAAAAAGGAAAGAAAAGAAAAAAGAGAAAGAAAAAAAAAGGATCCATACCTCACACCATACATGAAAACTAACTCCAAATGGGTATGGATCATGGGCCTAAATGTCATTTAAAACTTCTAGGGAAAAACGTCTGTGATGTTGGCTCAGGCAAAGATTTCTAGCCGTGGCAAGGGCGCCATCCATAAAAGAAGGGCACTGGTAAGTCTGACTTCATCAAAGCAGCGACCTTCCTCTCTGTGAAAGACGGCTGCTAAGAAAATGAAAAGACAGGCTATTGGCTGAAAGAAAAACTTTACAAGACTTACATCCAATAAAGGACTTTTATTCAGGATGCATAAAAGAACTTTCAAAACTCAGTAATAAGAAAACCAAAAACTCAGAGAATTGTCAGAAAGAATTAAATAGTTACTTC